TTAAGTTTATACAACACAAGATTCTGGGGTCTTGTCTGGTTTTTGTATCTGCTGTGTTTTAGACATTGTTGTCTTTTGGTTAGTTTTTTGTTTGTTTGTTTAAGAAAAAAATCAATTATTTTCACGTTTTCTACTGTGGATAGCTTTTCTGCAATTTTTAAAGTAATTCTAAAAATCAACACTTTTGGTCACAAATTCATATTTGAATCTCAAGATAGCACCTGCAGTGACAGCACCCAAATATAATCTGTACTACAGCAAGTACATTCAATTCTTTGTTTTTGCATTCCCACACAGTGTGTTAAAATAAAGATCAACATACAGTATTGAAGCTCACAGTACCTGATATATTAGCATATCAATATCTCCCATTTTACTACATGTATTTTTTTTTTTGCCAATCGGTAGGCCTTTGAGTACATTATTTTTAAAATTCTCCCTCGCAGACATTTTTCTTTATGTCAGTCATGCACACAACAGCTGTAACAAGGATGTTCTGCCCAAAATTCTGCTCCAGAGACCTCATGTGTATGCCTGGAGGTCTTAAAACAAAGCAAGGACTAATCGGCTACTCAGTGAAAGACTGCGAAATCCCTGTCTTCAACTTTATGAATACAAACTGTCAAACATATTAGAATGGCAGAGGAAAAAAACCCCACTATTAATATATTTATAGGGTTTATATACAGAGTTATAATTTTTATTATTATTAAATAACAGGAAAGCAGCTCTAGCACAGATGAGTTAGTGTATTTCTCAGAATCTCGTTATTATTAGCAGACATATGCAGAATTTCCAGAAAGCATTGTTTGCCTAGAAGAAATCCTATCTCAAAACCTGTAAGCATAGTTCAGACCGATGCAGTAAGTGATCTCAGAGCTGCTGAAAAAAGCAAGTCTTTCCTCCACTTCTCCCTATCATCCAGCTTCTAAGTCCTCTGCCTTGCTGAATGAAGGTGCAGACAGGCTGAAGAGGGAGCTCTCAATCTCTAGTCCGTGTGAAAGAAAGGGAAAGAAGCACATCTAACACCTTTTGAGCTGTCTGCAAACTACACGGGACAAAGTATTAGCTTACCTCCCTTGAAAAATTACGATTACGTGAGCCTGGTACTGTCCGTAAGAAGCCAAGTGAAACATCTTTATGAGCCTTCCTTTATCTTGGAAATTAAATATCATTAGGGATACTACACATCCATCAAAGAGCACAAATACAAGGACTTGCTGGTTTACAGACTTCGTAGCTAAACTGATAAACTGCAGATCTCTCAGACAACAGCACGCCAAACACATCAAAATGCAACATTTCACTAGAGTGAAACACTTCCCATTACTCTCTAAAGAAAGCTATAATCCCATTTTGGAGGCAAATCTGGTGAACTTTAAGAAAAAACTTAGTCTCTAACAGTTTATATTATGCCAATTTACAATGCACTCATCCTAACACCATACACTCAAGCTATTTTCATACTTCTACTAGAAAGAACATATACATGGTCTCAATTTAAAATAAAAAAGCTGTTAAAGCTGTTAATTTTTATGAATGTAGTATATGTAGCAATGTCACTTGGAAATGAACATTACAATAAGAATTAATATCTGAAAGATGACAAAATAGGCTCCCTAAAGATTTTTTTTCTCTCTTTTATGAAATTTATCTTGGTAACAGATAGTGACAGACTGCTATATCATGGATCAGTATTAGTCATCAAATCCCACAACATTAGGAACTACAAGCTCTCAGTCACAGTAACAGATGCAGGGGTTTTTTTTTTGTAGAATGATATAAACATGCTTTTATACTACTTTTTTAATATCAAAAAGAGTAATGCTCAAAACCACCATATTTGCTATACAAAATATAGCAAACATACATCCTAAATAAAGTGTTTTGGAGTAAAATATATTGAGGCAATAAAATTTTCAACAAGAATTCTAACAGAAAAAAGCACAGATAACATTTCAATTAAAGAACTGCGAACAGAGTTCAGGATGGAAAACAGCAGAGTAGAGCCCAAAACATTCAATAACCACATGCTTATGATTAAAGGGATCTTAGGTAACATTTTCAAACACAGTGGCAACTGTAAAGGACAGCTATAGAAATTACAGTGTTCTAAATGGCCATTTCAATTTCTCAATTTGTTTGGATTTTGAACCAATTTTTTTTAAGAAAGCAGGCAAATCTCTCCAAAGACTACCAAGAAAACCTTGGAGGACTTTGAGGTATTTTACATAGAGAAGGCTGCGAGCAGCAAGCGCTAAATGTGAATTTGCAAAGCTAATGACTCCCTGACAGGCTCCCTGCTAGCACATGCACC